GTGGACGGGCAGGACGGACTGGCTGGGGGAGAAGGTGGCGGGGACTCAAGGTGCTGCCGGGTCCTGGCTCCGATGATAGAGCTGAGCTCTGCCCTGGGGGAGGGTGTGAGGGAGGCAAGCATGGGCTGGTCGGGGGAGGTTAGGTGGGCCCTCCCCTGGACCAGAGACTGGGGAGTTCTCAGAGTGAGCAAAGTCTCCCCAGGGGTGGCTGAATGCTTTCTGCAGAGCGCCATATCCAGGCCCTGGGGAAGTGCTGGATACCCAGGATGAAATAGGGAACTCTGGGGTCCCAGAGGAAGGAGGCGGGGTCCAGGAAGGAGGGTCTGGGCCTCAGTGTCCAGGACAGAGCATGTGGAGGCCACCTGGCCTGGCCGAGCCCATCTAGGGTAGCAGGCCCGTGAACCCGCTTAGGGATGGGGGTGGGGGTTGGCAGGAGTTTAGAGCTTGGCCGTGAGGCAAGAAAAGCAGCACAGCGCGAAGGATTCAGAGACAAGGGGAAGCAGTTGAACAATCACATTTATTATGAATTATTTCCTGATGAACGCAGAAATTCAATATAAAATGTAATTACGGGGAATGGCATCATGGTAACCACCCTCGGTAACCGGACAAACAGCCTTTCAGTCTCCACTCTACACACAGGCGTACACACACACACACACATATTGTTTCCTTAGCAAGACTGAGCTCATACTTTTCAGCAGGTTCTGCTGTTTACCAAACAGATGGTGGCTCCCTGGCATGGAACAGGCTGCACACTGCTGATTCCTGATGCGGGAGCATCCCAGCATATCAAGGGGTCATCAACATTTGACAGGGTAGGAGAAACTAGAGGGTGTTTTACACTCTGGTGAGAAACCCACAGTGCTGGAGAGGTGAGGGCCTGGGGGGGCAGTGAGGATGTCGGGGGGTGAGCCAATGAGGAGGAGACGGGGTCGCAGGTAAGGCACCATTGAGGCGGAACCCTGGATAGTCCTAAGAAAAAGTAATACACTTCCTCGTCTTACTGCACATTTGAAAAAAGTTAATAAAACATATGCTCATCGTAAGAAGGTGGAATAATCACAAATAGAAAGTCAGTCCCATGTAATCCTATCCTAACACATCTCTTTCCTTACAGTGACGGCAGAACCAGTGTAGAGAATACTGCCTAAATGGAAGTATCGTGGCTATTGCACAATACTGCCAAGGTGGGGTTGCATGTGCTTAGACCCGCGCCATGGATCTGGCAGAGAAGGCCACCGGGATCCGGAGCACGGGGCTCGGGGAAGGTGTGAGAGGGCGCCACCAGGAGTCCAGGGCAGCTCAGCAAGGGGACAGTGCTTGGTCCCGGGGCCCAGCTGGCCAGAGAGCCATCCACTCAGCCCTGCCTCACTCGGGACGCGAAGGCTGCCAGCAGAGGAGGCCCCGGGCCCGCGAGGGGCCGGCCAGGACCCCCACGGGGCACTTCCCGCGCTGCGAGCAGACCCTGTGTTTTCTCAGGCAGCCCCTGCCTGCCACCCTCATGGTGCACTGCTGTGCGTGGCCCTGCTGGTTCTTCGGCTCCAGGACCCCTACACGATGTGGGTGAGAGCTGCGGCTTTTCATGCCCACAAGTAGGATCTGAGCTTATTGTTCCTTTCCTTTTTGGTATCCTCAAGTGCATAAATAAGGAAGACACACGCACACATTGCACCCTGGGTCACATTATATGGGGCAGCGGGCCCATGTAATCTGTGCCTGCCAACAGATTGCCACCCTGGAGAGACAGTGGGTACCTGCCTCCAGGTATTCTCCATTCGGCCTCAGGGCGGCGGGGGGGCGGGGCATGCCAGGGTGACTGTCTTATGCACTGGATTTTTATTTTCAAGGCTTCTTCTCTGAATATTTTACTGATTCTCATAATAGATCATTCAACAGATATTACGATTCCTTTATATTTTATATCAGTTCAGCTCAGTTCAGTCGCTCAGTCGTGTCCGACTCCGTGACCCCATGAACCACAGCACACCTGGCCTCTCTGTCCATCATCAACTCCCAGAGTCCACCCAAACCCATGGCCATCGAGTCAGTGATCCCATCCAGTTATCTCATCCTCTGTCGTCCCCTTCTCCTCCTGCCATCAATCTTTCCCAGCATCAGGGTCTTTTCCAATGAGTCATGTCTTCACACCATGTGGCCAAAGTATTGGAATTGCAGGTTCAGCATCAGTCCTTCCAAGGAACACCCAGGACTGATCTCCTTTAGGATGGACTGGTTGGATCTCCTTGCAGTCCAAGGGGCTCTCAAGAGTCTTCTCCAACACCACAGTTCAAAAGCATCAATTCTGCGATTCTCAGCTTTCTTTATAGTCCAACTCTCACATCCTTACATGACCACTGGAAAAACCATAGCCTTGACTAGATAGACCTTTGTTGACAAAGTAATGTCTCTGCTTTTTAATATGCTGTCTAGGTCGGTCATAACTTTCCTTCCAAGGAGTAAGCATCTTTTAATTTCATGGCTGCAATCACCATCTGCAGTGATTTTGGAGCCCAGAAAAATAAAGTCAGCCACTGTTTCCATTCTTTCCCCATCTATTTCCCATGAAGTGATGGGACCGGATGCCATGATCTTAGTTTTCTGAATGTTGAGCTTTAAGCCAACTTTTTCACTCTCCTCTTTCACTTTCATCAAGAGGCTCTAGTTCTTCTTCACTTTCTGCCATAAGGGTGGTGTCATCTGCATACCTGAGATTATTGATATTTCTCCCAGTAATCTTGATTCCAGCTTGTTCTTCCTCCGGCCCAGCGTTTCTCATGATGTATTCTGCATATAAGTTAAATAAGTAGGGTGACAATATACAGCCTTGACGTATTCCTTTTCCTATTTGGAACCAGTCTGTTATTCCATGTCCAGTTCTAACTGTTGCTTCCTGACCTTCATACAGGTTTCTCAAGAGGCAGGTCACATGGTCTGGTATTCCCATCTCTTTCAGAATTTTCCACAGTTTACTGTGATCCACACAGTCAAAGGCTTTGGCATAGTCAGTAAAGCAGAAATACATGTTTTTCTGGAACTCTCTTGCTTTTTTGATGATCCAGCGGATGTTGGCAATTTGATCTCTGCTTTCTCTGCCTTTTCTAAAACCAGCTTGAACATCTGGAAGCTCATGGTTCACGTGTTGCTGAAGCCTGGCTTGGAGAATTTTGAGCATTACTTTACTAGCGTGTGATATGAGTGCAATTGTGTGGTAGATTGAGCATTCTTTGGCATTGCGTTTCTTTGGGATTGGAATGAAAACTGACCTTTTCCAGTCCTGTGGCCACTGCTGAGTCTTCCAAATTTGCTGGCATATTGGGTGCAGCACTTTCACAGCATCATCTTTCAGGATTTGAAACAGCTCAACTGGAGTTCCATCACCTCCACTAGCTTTGTTCGTAGCGATGCTTTCTAAGGCCCACGTGACTTCACATTCCAGGATGTCTGGCTCTAAGGGAGTGATCACACCATTGTGATTATCTGGGCCATGAAGATCTTTTTTTGGTACAGTTCTTCTGTGTATTCTTGCCACCTCTTCTTAATACCTTTTGCTTCTGTTAGGTCCGTACCATTTCTGTCCTTTATTGAGTCCATCTTCGCATAAAATATTCCCTTGGTATCTCTAATTTTCTTGAAGAAATTTCTAGTCTTTCCCATTCTATTGTTTGCCTCTATTTCTTTGCATTGATCACTGAGGAAGGCTTTCTTATCTCTCCTTGCTATTCTTTGGAATTCTGCATTCAAATGGGTATATCTTTCCTTTTCTCCTTTGCTTTTCACTTCTCTTCTTTCCACAGCTATTTGTAAGGCCTCCTCAGACAGCCATTTTGCTTCTTCACATTTCTTTTTCTTGGGGATGGTCTTGATTCCTGTCTCCTGTACAGTGTCACGAACCTCCGTCCATAGTTCATCAGGCACTCTATCAGATTTAGTCCCTTAAATCTATTTCTCACTTCTACTGTATGGTCATAAGGGATTTGATTTAGGTCATACCTGAATGGTGTAGTGGTTTTCTTCACTTTCTTCAATTTCAGTCTGAATTTGGCAATAAGGATTTCATGTTCTGAGCCACAGTCAGCTCCCAGTCTTGTTTTTGCCTACTGTATACAGCGTCTCCACCTTTGGCTGCAAAGAATATAATCAGTCTGATTTCGGTGTCAACCATCTGGTGATGTCCATGTGTAGAGTATTGTCTTGTGTCGTTTGAAGATGGTGATTGGCATGACCAGTGTGTTCCCTTGGGAGAACTCTTTTAGCCTTTGCCCTGCTTCATTCTGTACTGCAAGGCCAAATTTGCCTGTTACTCCAGGTGGTCTGACCACATTCCGTCAGACCCCTCCACAATGACCCGTCTGTCTTGGGTGGCCCCACACGGCATGGCTTAGTTTCATTGAGTTAGACAAGGCTGTGGTCCTGTGATCAGATTGGCTAGTTTTCTGTGATTATGGTTTTAGCGTGTCTGCCCTCTGATGCCCTCTCTCAGTGCCTACCGAGAGTTATGTTTAATATAACTCCACCAAATATTTAGAATAGGTCAGAAAGATATACCAGGGTGCAAGTAAGTTACCACCTCATAATGTCCCCCCTAACCAGGGGTGTCCTTGGGAGGATGGCAGCCTGCCTCGCCCCACATTTACTGCTTCCTGTATGGAGAGATGGGACCACCGTCCTCCCCCGCAACCCCCGAGACCGCACAAAGGGCAGCCCAGCCCCCCGCCGCAAGGTTCCCCGATCCAAACACCAGCCGTCCTAGGAACCTTCCGTGGGACAGCTGCGTGGGTGACAAGTCAGCCACTGACGCCCCCACGCCCGTCTCCCTTGTGCGGTTTCCCGACCAAGCCGACGATACTTAGAGACTCACATCCTGGATATCCTTGAGCTCCGCACCCACTGCACACACCAAGAGTCGCCTCCTAGCTTTTTGTAAGACAGAAAGATTGCCTTTGGTTTCAGGACACTACAAACTCAGCACGGAGGTCATTCTGCGTACATCACAGATGTCAGCTCTGGCCTCTGTGGGTCCTCGGAGGAGCAGGGAGCCTGGCGGCGCCCACGGTGTTGCGGTTTGTGGAGAAAGGCCGTTGGCCACTTGCTGGGATTTGGGATCTGAAACAAACGAAGAATTCTGACTCAGCCGCCGACCTACCACTCTGGTGTGCGGTGTCAGTGGGGATGCGAGAGGGGGATGCTGTCACATGGTCTGGGGTCTGCAGGGTGGCCCAGCCTGAATCCACCGCTTCGCGTCCCCCCACCCGTGCTGCGCTGACATCACACCATCCCAGGCCTCCAAACCTGTGGCCCTCCCAGCCACCCGGACACCCCCCACTGGACATGCACAGGCCCGGAGGAGCCCATCAGTCACCCACACACACACCAGCTCACCCACCAGGGTGGCTCCCTGCAGCCAGACCGCCATCCCCCCACCCCCTGCTCCTGCCTGTGGACCAGCCTGGAGTTCAGCAAGGCCTCAAAACTGCTATCTTCCTTCTGGCCTGGAGCCTACGAACAGTGCTCAGTCCTCCAGTTTCACTGGAGAACAAGCCCTTCCCCTCGCTGGGCCAGTTCTGCTGCCGTCTCTGGGGATCCGGCCTCCGCAAGGCCACTGCTGTCATTTTCCCAGCACAAGCCAGACCCCTCCATCCCTACTTCAAACCTTCCATGTCTGTTAATAGAAACACTGGAGGGCTCTCTCCCGAGCACCGGCCACGTTTCAGGGCTGAGCCGGGGGTTCCCCGAAGCCTCACAGACACCTAATGAGAAGAAGATCACCCCAGGGAACAGGGGAGAAAGCCAAGGTCCACGACTTTCAGGACAAAATCCCAGAGTTATTACTGGAACCAGGCCCTTCTTGCTCATTAGTTTTCAGAATTCAGGAAGCATTAGTACCTGGGCCATGTTAACAATGCGGATGGCAGGGTTCTAACCCAAGAGGCCGGGATTCAGGGAGTCTGAGGTCAGACGGGAACCTGCATTAAGAGGCAGCAGCCCCCCCGCCCGTCCCCAACGACAACACACACACACACACACACACACACACACACACACACGGAGGGGCCCTGCCCCACCCCCCCCCCCACACACAGAGGGGCCCTGCCCCCTTTCCCCGCCCCACCCCCTCGCAGTTCTACAGGTACCCAGAGCCACTTCCTTTAGGCAAACCAATGCTATCTGTCCATTGGCCCCACCCCTGTTCCATCAGCCAGCTCTCTCCTCTCTGTCATCAGGATGGCCTCAGTGGGGGACTTCCCTGACGGTCCAGTAGCTAAGACTCCGTGATCCCAGTGCAGGGGGCCAGAGTTTGATCCCTGGCCAAGGAACTAGACCCCACATGCCACAACTCAAGATCCCACGTCCTGAAACTAGGACCTGGCCCAGCTAAATAAGTCACTTTAAAAAAAATGACCCTCCGCGGACACACCCCCCCAGGCGTCAGCACACCCTCTGCAGCTGAGTCTTGGTCACTAGCTCCCAGCAGGGGCACTGGGCCCCCAGATGGGCTCAGCTGCCTCCCATAAGGCAGGGCGCTGGCAACAGGGGACATGCCCCCTGCCACCTCTCCAGGGCTCAATGATATTCCTAGGATGGCGCGTGAGGCCTGAGCAGATGGGAGGGTGCCTGGTGGACCCCCAGACCCACAGCCACATCACCCACCTGGAAGTGGGGAGCAGATGCACCATGGCCTGAGAACACACCTGGGAGGTGGCCCACCACAGCCACTGGATGTCACTGGGCATGTCTGGAAGCCACGTCACCAGTCTGCAGGAAGGAAACGCAGAGACACACACCTTGTCTGCGGGTGAAGACAAGCCAAAACAAAAAGGACAAGAAGAAACCCCACCCGAAGGCAGACCTCTGACGACAGTACCATCATCCAGGTAAACGGCCAGGGTCACTTCTAACCACAAGCTGATAAATTCCGCAAGGCAAGCCCACCTAAAAGCCCTAAAGCAAAATGAGGCCACTTTGCATTCAGGAAAGCTCAAGGGACTTACATGGAGATAAAAGGCCTGGGTCTTCCAAGACCCCGCTCCTCTGGGTCAGCGTGGACCGAAACACACAGCATCTTCTGGTTGAAACACCACCCCCTGCACCCACATGGAAGGTGCTCGGGCACATGAGCGCCCACAGAGGAAGCTGCCAAGGAGGCCTGACTCTGCCCTCCAGGCCTCCAACACCCCAGACACAAAAAGGACCCCATGTCTCGGGCTTTAAGAAATGTCAGCAGAGGACTCCCCTGGCGGCTCAGTGGTGGAGCCCGCCTGCCAGTGCAGGAAGGAGGCATGAGTTCGAGCCCTGCTCCAGGAAGATCCCACAGCCCGCGGAGCAACCAAGCCCGTGCACCACAGCTCCTGAGACTGTGCTCTGGAGGCCGGAGCCGCAACTACTGAAGCCCAAGTGCCCTGGAGCCAGCGCTCAGCAACAAGGGAAGTCACTGCAAAGAGAAGCCACGCATTGCAACTAGAGAGCAGCCCTCACTCAACGCAACTAGAGAAAAGCCCATGCGGCAATGAAGACTCGGCACAGCCAAAAATAAAGAAACATTTTGTGAAAGTGTTAGCTGCTCAGTCATGGCCGACTCTTTGCAACCCCATGGACTGGAACCTCTGTCCCTGGGGTTCTCCAAGCAAGAATACTGGAGTGGGTTGCCATTCCCTTCTGCAGGGGATCTTCCCAAACCAGGGATCAAATCTGGGTCTCTTGCACTTGAAAAAAAAAAAGAAGAAAGAAAGACCTACTATATAGCACATGGAACGCCACTCAATGTTATGTGCCAGCCTGGTGGGGAGGGGGGTTTGGGGGAGAATGGATACGTGTATACGTATGGCTGAGTTCCTTCAATGTTCACCTGAAACTTCACAACATTTTTCATTGACTATAGCCCAATGCAAAATGTTTTTGGTGTTAAAAAAAATTTTTTTTTAATACAAAATACAAAAAAGGAATGTCAGGGGACTCCCCTGGTGGTCCAGTGGTAAAGAACCTGCCCTCCATTGCAGCGGCCGAGGTTTTGATCCCTGGTCAGGGGACTAAGATCACACACGCCACAGGGCAACTAAGCCCCTTGCCACAACCAGAGAAGCCCGAGCGCTTCTTGGCCTGAAAACCAAGCACAGCCACAATAAATAAATAAAAGAAGTTATCAAACTATTTTTTTTTAAACAAAAGGAAGGAAAAAATATGCCAGAGCAGCCAGCCCTCCTCCCAGGGCGAGGCAGGTGGCTGACTGGTAGGGCTGGAGAGTGATCTGGGAGGTCCAGCAGAGCCAGAGAACTGAGCTGCAGTTTGAAGGACGGCTGGGACTTTGAAGGGCTTCTCTCATAGCTCAGCTGGGAAAGAATCTGTCAGCAATGCAGGAAACTCTGCTTCTATTCCTGGGTCGGGAAGATCTGCTGGAGAAGGGATAGGCTACCCAGTCCAGGATTCTTGGGCTTCCCCTGTGGTTCAGCTGGTAAAGAATCCGCCTGCAATGCAGGAGACCCCGGTTCGATCCCTGGGTTGGGAAGATCCCCTGGAGAAGGGAAAGGCTCCCCACTCCAATATTCTTGGCCTGGGGAATTCCATGGACTGTATAGTTCATGGGGTCGCAAAGAGTCGGGCATGACTGAGCGACCATCACTTTCACTTTGGGACTTTTAAAAAGACAGACTGAAAGACATGCTGACTAAGTCACTAAAAAGAAAATAAACACTAAAGAAAATGTGAAGAAAACGGAGGGAAAACAAATGCCCAGGAATCTAGCAGCCACACAGCGTAGGCCTCGGGATCCTTCCGACACACCAGGAATAAATGCCCCTCCGTCCCAAAAATGCAGACCTGCAAGAAATGACAAACCTAGGCGGCGGGGTGGCCAGGGGCTCGCCAACCAGGTGCCTTTCCAGGGTGTTCCACACAGACTGTGAGCTCCACCCGGATGGGTAAGGAGCCAGGCCCTGTGCTGAATCCTCACCCTACCCCCCAGCCCCAAGAGGAAGCCACAAAGCCACAGGAAGCATTCACCTCTGGACCACAGCGATGGCAGACTCCACGGGCAGCGTGCAGGGCAGCATCACATAGGACATGATCTTAATCGGTAAGAAGTTGAAAATCTTGTTTATGTACCCATCTCGGTTTCTGATTGCCTTCCTCAGTGCTGAAAAACACAAGTTGGAGGTCTGTTTCCCACCAGCGTAAAAACCAAACCACCTTCCCGCACTGGTGCCCAGAATGTCTATAAATCCTACCAATCCTGGCAGCTACGCATCAGAAAGTGAAAACGTGAAAGTGAAAGTTTCTCAGTCATGTCCCACTCTTTGTGACCCCATGGACTATAGCCTGCCAGGCTCCTCTGTTCATGGGATTCTCCAGGCCAGAATACTGGAATGGGAAGCTGTTCCCTTCTCCAGGGGATCTTCCCAACCCAGGGATCGAACCCAGGTCTCCCACATCGCAGGTGGGTCCTTTGCCATCTGAGTCACCAGGGAAGGAATCAGAAGCTATCACAAATGAGATCAGATGTGGGATGTGCCTACACAGCCCTTGGATCGCCGACAGGACACAGGGTCCCTTTTAAAGAGTTTCTTTTTAACTGACTCCCTGGAGAAGGGTATGGCAGCCCACTCCAGTATTCTCGCCTGGAGAATTTCATGGACAGAGGAGTCTCCTGGGCTACAATCCATGGTGTGGCAAAGAGCTGGACACAACTGAGCAGCTTTCATTACTACTTCAGTTTTAAATTTACTTATTAAATTTACTTGGCTGTGCTGAGTCTTAGTCGTGGCATGTGGTATCCAGTTCCTGGGCCAGGGATCCAAACTGGGCCCCCTGAATTGAGTCTTAGTCACTGCATTGAGTCTTCCAGAATGGAAATCCCACTTCACTTTAAATTACTTTTGGAGGCGGACACAAACATCTGAAATCCCCCAAGCCCAGGCTTCATGACCTTTTCTTTGCATCTGCAGTTGGATTCCACTCTTCCACCCGGAACCCCTAGCCTTCTATTTTCCCTTTGTGATGACCTCACGATGCCTCAGATCACAATAACCGGAGCAGCTGTTGGATACTGCAACTCCTAGGGCATTAGTGCCTGAGGCAAGAAACAGCATCCCTTTCATCTTTGCTGCTGTTCACCGGCTCAGTCATGTCTGAAGACTGCAGCATGTCAGGCCCCCCTGTCATTCAGTATCTCCTAGAGGTTGCTCAAACCCATGTCCATCGAGTCGGTGATGCCATCCAACCATCTCATCCTCTGTTGCCCCCTTCTCCTGCTGCCCTCAATCTTTCCCAGCATCAGGGTCTTTTCTGATGAGACAGTTTTTCCCATCAGGTGGCCAAAGGATTGGAGTTTCAGCTTCAGCATCAGTCCTTCCAGTGAATATTCAGGACTGATCTCCTTCAGGATGGACTGGTTGGATCTCCTTGCAGTCCAAGGGACTCTCAAGAGTCTTCTCCAGCACCACAGTTCAAAAGCATCAATGCTTCGGCGCTCAGCTTTCTTTATACTCCAACTCTCACATCCATACGTGACTGCTGGAAAACCCACAGCTTTGACCAGATGGAACGAAGAGCCAGTGCAACCGAAAATAAATTTAAACAAACAAACCAACCAACCAACCCAGCTGCAGTGTTATGTGCCAGCCTGGATGGGAGGCGGGTTTGGGGGAGAATGGATACCTGTATGGCTGAGTTCCTTCGCTGGTCCCCTGAGACTCTCCCGACACTGTTAATCGGTTCTACCCCAGTATAAAATGTCTTTGGTGTTAAATAAATAAATAAAATACAAACTCAGCTGGAGCTTGTTTTCCTCTGGCCATGACCGCATGGGAAGGGAGACAGAGCAAGGACTCAGGCGGATGGGAGGTCCATTCGGGGAGGCGGGGTCCCGGCCAACCTGCGCTGGCCACTCTGACCTGTTTCTTCCCAAGCACCTGTTTCTTCGCCCTTCCGCCACAGCTCACGGGGAAGCCGCCCTTCCTGCTCTGAAAGGGTCCCCGACCACCGCCTCCTCTGCGCTGCCCCCCACCCCCACCCCCAGAGCCAGTACCCATGGTGAGCTTGGGCGTCAGGGTCTCCAGGAGGCTCTTGTCCCAGGAGAGCGCGCCGAGGCGCACGTGTGCCAGCAGCTCCTCTCGCTCAGGCCACGCCTCCCAGGAGGCCACGCCCAGAAAAGGCTCCAGGCTCTCTGGCTCCGCCTTTGGCTCCGCCTCTGGCTCCAACTCTTCTGGGGATGCACTCAGGCACAGATGGGGCCCGTCACGGATGCCTGCGAAGGGCACGGAAACTAGACCCATCAGGCGATTTCGGGCAGCGGGGTCACTACTCGCCCAGCCACCCTGCCCACCCAGTAAACAGGCCTGTTGTTAGTACACGGTGGGGATCCACCTGGGAATAATCCGCCTGGGATCCACCCTGCTCCACCGCCCTTTTCCTAACGCGGAAAGCGCAGTGTGGGCCTCTGAAGCTGGACGGATGAGGCGGGCAGCTGGCTCGGTCACTCACCAGCCTGTGGGCTCTAGAGCCACATGTGGATTCATGAGGTTCAGAGGGAAGGATGATAACTGATTTATAACAACCGAACCACTGGTGAAGCCCAGTGTTCCAGACCCTGCAGCAGCCACGCAACTGCTCCCAGCTGAGTGCTGAGGAATCAGAAGCCCAGAGAAGTGAAGCGATTTGCCTAAAGTCACACAGCCGACACGCGTCAGAGCGAGATTCGAACCCAGGTCTGATGTCAACAATGGCATCCTTCCATCACACGACCTCGGAAAGAAGCCACAGGTCGGGGAGACTGTGCTGGCCCTGCCCTGGATGCCAGAGCTCAGGGGCCGATCCCAGTGGGTGGTTCCTGCTCTCACGCTGGGTGGGGACGGTGGGACGGGTAGACTTGGATGCCCATGCCTCCCCTGGCTCACCTCTCACTTCCAACCTCAGGGTTAAATGCCCAGGGGCTGTCCCTGCATGCCCCCTGCCTCACTCCCAAGCTACACCTCCCTGTTCGACTCCCTTGGATCTTTCCAGCTTCTTACAGACACACAGCTCAGCCTCTGGAGACGTATTCTCTCTTAGGAATGTTTCAGAGAATCTGTTTCCAGGGAACACCTGCCCTGCCCCCACGCATCCTCTAGGGAACCCCAAGGAAGCCAGGTTGACCGAGGCAGAACCTTGCTTAGATCCTTAAACCCAAACCCAGCACCAATCAATGCTGCAAGTGCACAGCCCCACGCCAGGATTTAGAATTACTAAGAATCAGCTGGCATCATTTACTTCAAAGTCCTTTTGCTACAGATGTGGAAACCGAGGCCCAGAGAGAGGAGTGGCTTGCCCAAAGTCACCTAGCAACTTCTATAGGGTCCCTCATTGTCTTTTATTCCCAGGTGGCTCCCAAATTTCAATCCCAGTCCAGGCCTGCTGTCTAGAACCTCGAATTCTGACATCACTATGCCTCCTGCGTGCATGCATGCTAAGTTGCTTCAGTCGTGTCCGACTCTGAGACCCCATGGACTGTAGCCCGCCAGGCTCCTCTGTCCATGGAGATTCTCCAGGCAAGAATACTGGAGTGGGTTGCCAGGCGCTCCTCCAGGGGTTCTTCCTGACCCTGGGAATGAAGCTGCATCTCCCACAACTCTCGCATTGGCAAGTGGGTCCTTTACCACGAGCGCCACCTGGGAAGGCCCAGTGCCTCCTGCCCAACCACCCAAATCTGTCCCAGGGCACCACACATGGGGCTCTCGAGCTTTCCTGCAGGACCCGTGCCCTCCCAAGGGCCCAAACTGTGAGCACCGCCCTCTGCTCCAGTCCTGACCACAGAAGCCAAGGGCAGAACTTCATCCCCGAGTCCTCCTCCTCGGGAACCTCTGGTTGGTTGTCTCCCAGTCCTGTCCCCTTCGGCCCCTTCCACTTCCCTTGCTGCCCGGACCGCGGCCGAGCCTACGGCAGCCGCCTTGACCAGCGATGTTGGCCTCACCCTCTCTGTAGTGTGGCCAGGGGCCCTGGCAAATCTCCCTCTGCCTGCCCCCACTCCAGTGTCAGCAGCCCGCCATGGCTCCCCATGGCTGTGAGATCCAAGCCGCTCACCACCTCCTCAAGGCCCAGCCTTGCCCCTCTTTCCATTCACCCCCATTCCTGCCTCCCCCAATCTGTTCCGCTGTCTGCCACCCCCAGCACTCCAGTGACACACGCCGTCTTTCCACCTCCAAGACTGTCTGCAGGCCTCATGCTCACATACCCCCATTCCTAAAACATTCCTGTTCACCCTCAAAGCATCACTGCAGATTCTCATCCTCCCAGGAGCCCTGCTTTCCCTTTCCTTGCAGAACGCCCCCCCCCCCCGCCCCCCACCTGAACCCCGCATCTGAATCTACAGCATCCTGTACGTGCCTGCCAGGGCACTGAGCTCTCCGTCAGCCTTCTGTTTACGCACCTGCCCTCCTCCCCAGTCTCAAGACTGAGCTACAGGAAGGCAGAGGCCTCATCTGTCTATCCGCTGCGGAGTCCCAAGGGCACAGTCAATTGCTTAGCACCCAGAAGGTATGCAGTAAGTGCTTTCTGAGTAGATAAATACATGTGCGTCCCATGAAGCACACCAGCTCCTTGGTCTAGGACAGAGACTAATTCAGAGGATCAATGACTGTACCAACCATTAGTAGCAGGGAAAAATAGCTCAAAACATAACTAATAGTTGGTTCCACACTAACATTTGAAGAACCCAAGTTCCCCAGCCCAGACTAGCCAGGACCTTTCCCCAGAACACAGCTGGGCCGGTGGACGCGGCCCACACCTGGCTGGAGGCAGCTCTCCTGATGTCTTCACCTGGGACCCAGAAACCGTTTCTCTCCCTTCCTCATCAAACTAAAGGTTCACAATTGTTCAAGCAGTAATGAAAAAGAAAGGAGCTGCCTTCAGTTGGCAGACAGGGACACTTCAGAGGGAGAGGAATCCTGGGGCTGTGACCTCTGCAAGGGTCAGCAGGGCTGATCCCAGCTCTGCTCCCCAGAATGCGGGCCATGGCTGCCTCCATCTCCCCATCTGTAAAATGGGGGCAACGATTTCCTATCTCTCAGAGCCGAGCCAGATGGCAGGTGAATGTGCTGAGTGTTGGGTGGTGGAGCCAACACAGTTCCCCTGGTGACCAAGACTGTGAATAGAAAGCTGGCTCAAAGGGCACGGCTGTCACCCCAACCATACGCACCATTCTTCTCCAAGAACCTGAGCGCATCTAAATATCCTTGAAGGCACAGCTCTCCAAGCACCTGTGAACAAACCACGTGAAGTTAACCGCAGGCGGAGTCACCACATGCCATTGCTTTCAGCATGACCTGAAGATGGCAGGCACAGAGCCGGGAATCCTCTGAGCTCCGAGTCGATGCCATGTGTGGACAGGGCTCCGCGCTCCCGGGAGAAGGCAGCCCCGCTTCCTGGCAGGACTCAGCTCGAACGACACCCGCTCCGCGCACAGCCCAGTCTGGCGCCCCAGCATGACGGGAGCTGGTTCCTCTGGTCTCCTTTGGTCCCTGGACAAGCCTCCATCCTCACAAATAGCAGGGCCGGATCTGCTTGTCATGGGACATTGGCCTGCCTCCTCTGCACTCAAACCACACGGGCGCCCGATGCTGTGGCCCAGCCTTCTCTCCACCCGTGAGCACTCGCCGCCAGGTACGACGTATGGCATGGCCTTCTTTCTCCCCAGAGAGCTGTCACTGTGCAGATTCTACCAACTTTCTTACTCTCTGAGGGTGGGAAGGTCCACCACACTATAGCGACAACCAAGAAAAGATTAAACGGGGAATTTCCCATGTGGTCCAGCCATTAAGACTCCATGCTTTCACTGCCAAGAACCCAAGTTCAATCCCTTAAGATGCTACAAGTCTCAAGGCACACCTGGCAGGGGGGTGGGGGGGGGAGATTAAGCCACCAAATGCAGTGTAATTCTTGACCATGGCTGCCAATCATCATTGGGGGACTTACTGGCGGTCCGCTGGCTCAGGCTCTGCACTCCCAAGGCAGGGGGTTTCAATCTCTGGTCAGGGAACTAGAGCTTGTGCGACAACTAAGACCCAGTGTAGCCTAATTAATTAATTAATTTAAAAAGAGAATTATTGGGATAATTTAAAAAAAGACACCCTACTGCCCAGGCTGTGATGTGCTGTGACCAGGCGTGTCCAACTCTTTGCCAACCCCATGGAGCTGTAGCCCGCCAGCCTCTTCTGTCCATGGGATTTCCCAGGCAAGAATACTGGAGTGGGTTGCCATTTCCTCCTCCAGGGGATCTTCCCAACCCAGGGACCCAACCTGAGTCTCTTGCATCTCCTGCACTGGCAGATGGATTCAGGCTGTGGATACTTAAGCCATAGCCCCTGGTGGTGCGATCTCATTGGCGACCCCCACCCCTCCCTTTCAATGGCCCCAGGGGATTCTGGTGACCAGCAGGAGGCAGCACTGAGCTGAGTCCCTTTTCCAGGATGGGGTTTGTTGCCACTGGTTAGTTAGTCGTGGAGAACTAGTTAGTTAGTTAGTTAGTTGTGTGGAGAACATTTGCTGCTCTGCTCAGTCGGTCCGACTCTTTGTGATCCTTTGGGCTGGAGCCCGCCAGGCTCCTCTGTCCCTGGGATGTTTCAGGCAAGAATACTGGACTGGCTTGCCATTTCCTTCCCCCGACTCAGGGACTGAACCCACATCTCCCGCGCCTCCTGCATTGCAGGCAGATTCTTTACCCAGTAAGCCATCAGGGACGCCTGAAGAGCTGCTGGGTCCCCTGGCAAAGAGGGATGCAGAGGGGAGCAGCACCCCAGAACTCAGAGCCCCCCTCACCTTGACGTCCGGGGGGAAGAGCGACTGGAACATCAGGTAGAGGTTCTCTGTGCATAAGTGCATGTTGAGCTTGGTGAAGCCTTCGTGAAGTAAGAACGTGGACTTGACTCTGGGGCAGATGTCGCTCTCCCCATAGAAGGGGGACACAGTGATGGTTGTTTTGGAATCAATGAAGGGTAAGTTATCACTTATTCCTCCATCCACATATCGCTTTTAAGGGAGAAGAAAAAATAAAAAAAAACACACACTGTCAGAAGCTCTGGGCTGGAGTTTTCTGTGTGTTTCAGATTAGGGACAGAGACTTCTCAGAGCCGCAGGCAGCTCTAGTGAGAAAACAGGGAGTTTGGAACAACTCGCAGCAAATCCCTAGTGAGCATTTCTGTGCCAGGCCAGGCTGCAGGCTGGCACTCAGGACTGCCACATGCTGTTGTGTGGTGTGCGCACTGCACCAGAACAGTACCAGGTCCAGAGGCACAGGAGGCCGGCGTCTGGCCCACGTTGCTGGGCCCAGCCATGAGCGCCCCCAGGCGAGTCCATGTAACTTGCATCCACTAGGGGCGCTGTGTGTACTCAGGGCAGAGTGTGATGTAGATCTGGCTGAAAGGGAGACAGATGTCATGGGTTCAATTCCAGGGGCCCCCAGCTGCTGGACCAATCTCGGACAAGACACTTAACCTGTGGTCCTGACTCTGTCCACACCTGGGCAATGAGGGCCAGCACTGACGTGGTGAACCTGAGTCCTGAGCTCTTAAAACATGGCACCTTATCCCACAGGTAAGGTGCACTTGGGGTAAGAACTGTGAGAATCCATTTTCCTATATTCCATGGTAAGCGCTCAGTCACTCTGTTGTGTCCAACTCTTTACGACCCCATGGACTGCAGAGGCAAAAGGCTTTCTTCATTTAGGGACAGGTCTCAGGGGCCCAGGGTGCCGGAACCCACTGCCTTGTCTTCCTTTTTTTTTTTCAAAGATGCTTATGGGATCTTATTACCTGGATCAGGGATGGACCCAGGCCCCTGGCAGTGAACGTGCAGAGTCCTGACCACTGGACCACCAGGGGATTCCCAGGAACACAGTTTAAAAGTGGACTTACCACGCCTCTGAAGGAAGGGGGGATCAAGCCAAAGACGACAGGGATGTAGCAGGAACAACACAAGGCCTGAGAAGACAAAAGAGAGTGAAACCACAGCGCAGCCCAGAGCAGGCAGCCTTCTACTCCCTGGGCCTTTACAAGCCTTCTACAAGCAAGGAGAGCAATAAGCCTAAAGCGCTGTTGGCAGAGTCGCTGCTTTACTAAATGGTTGAATGAAAATGAGCCCGGCCACACACTTATGATTTCCGCATGCCTGCCTGCCCAGTCGCCTCTGACTCTCTGTGACCCTGATGGACTGGAGCCCGCCAGGGTCCTCTGCCTATGGGGTTTTCCAGGCAAGAATACTGGACCAGGGTGCCATTTCCTCCTCCAGGGGATCTTCCTGACCCAGGGATGGAACCTGCATCTCCTGCATCTATCTGCACCACAGGCAGGTTTTTTACCACTGCACCACCCGGGAAGCCCAAGGTCCAAGTGTAACTTCAGACTTGCACTTCCTCTCTGCTGCCCACGAGGGTCCCATTGGGCCATCACAGACTGGACCAAGTAGTTGCTGACTAGCTGATCGCCTGGGAAGGAGATTAGACAAGGGCTTTGCAATTACTGACATTCATCAGAATCGCCTGGAAAGGCTGGCCAACCACAGACTCGGGGCCCCACCCCTAAGATTCTGATGAGGCAACTTGGGGGCGGGGCCTGAGAGCCTGCAGTTCTGAAACGCCCCCCAGGAGATACTGCTGCCGCTGGTCGCCCAGGGACCACGCTCTGCGTCTCATCATGCATTAACCATGATGTAACAGTGGTGCAATGAGAGAAAAGAGCTCCTGTGGGAATGCACAGGTGCTGGGTGCCTAGAAAATGCTCCTGGAAACAAGGTTAAGCGGAAGACGACACTGGCTGCTGAGCAGCAGCTGGTTATATACGCCAGGCAGCTTGCTCGTACGGACCTGTGTTAAGTGAAATGACGCCCAAGGCATTCTCACAAAACACATCAGCCCAGCCATATGGTGTTTTGATATCACCAATGATCTTCTCTGGGCTAGAACCAGAGGACAGAGGTAACCAAGACACGCTCCCACCCTTGTGGGGCTTCAGTCGACAGGTCCTGATTAAGGAACAGCATCACTGGGAGGAGGACCACACACCTAAGGTCCCTGGAGCAGGAGCTTATGATCCAAGTCGGGAAGGAGGGGGAGACACTGTCCAAACCTGACACCGTCTGGGACACCCCAGGCTTGCACATGCTCTGGACCGGACCGCTGGAAGCACACAGTTTACATCAGTCTGGTACAGTGAAGCCAGCCAGCATCACGGGCAACCAGGTTCTCTTGTATCTTAAGTAAACAATGGGGCCGATTGGCCCATAACAGCCCCTCCCTGTGTTGCTTCCAAAACGACATGGCCCTTCCGACTAGACAGTACCCAGATAAACAAAGCGCTTACGTCCACGACTTCATCTTTGGAATGAAACTCCGACACCAGCACGTTTTCTCCGTCGGACACTCTGGTAAGTGAGATGACCATCTTGCCGGAGAGTAGCTGGTGGACGTTGTCGGGGAGGTGTCTGTGGAGACCGTCTCGGATGTACTTGCTCAAGCTGAAGGCTGGGTGGAGGATCCCGAAGTTCCGGCTCCTGACGCTCCGGATGAGGTCCATGAGGATCTGCAATCTCTGCTCTGGGTGTGGGGTGAGGCGGGGGAGAAGGGAGGCATGGGGGTGGAGAGAGAAATATGCAAAGGAATGTACAACCCTGGAGGTGGGAATTGCTTTGTGGTGGGACCAGGAACCTGATGGCAAGGAAGCTGGGGACCCTCCCCTTTGTCTAAGCCTGGGCTGCCTGATCCAGCCAGTGGTTCCTGAGCCTGAGATGTGGTTAGTCCACACTGATGGGTAAAAGACACACCGGATCGCAAGGGCTTAGAACGACAATAACAACAAAAACGTTGACTCTCTCTCAGATGATGTTTTGTATTGAGTAGATGTGAAAATGGTAATATTTTGGCTATACCGGGATAAATAAAACACATTTCACTGATGTCTTTTACTTCTTCCATGTGATTCAATGGACATGAATTTGAGAAAATTCTGGGAGATAATGAAGGACAGGGAAGCCTGGTTTGCTGCAGTCCATGGGGTCGCAAAGAGTCAGACACAATTTAGCAACTGAACCACAACAACTAGGAAATATAAGATTTACATATTCCTGTTGGTCAGAGCCGTTCTTGACCCTCCCAGGCCAGAGGAACGGGCCTCCAGAGGCCCAGGGAGCCCTCTCTTCGTCTTCATCCCTGCATCAAGGCCATATGCCAGGAACCCACATCATCAGAGCTTGAGCATGGGTGGATCTAACCCTGCAGGGAGCAGACAGCAAGTGCAGGCTGGGACCTGAGTTTGAATCCTGTCTCTACTGCTTACTAGGTGAGCAACTTAAACACGTTACATCACTGCTTCTGAACCTCAGACAGTATGTTTTTAACATGGGACAATACTCACCTACATTTTGGAGAAAGAAAAGTTTAGGTACACTAAAATCTGTACTCAGTCAACCCAGAGGAAGCACCTCATATTTTCTTATTTATTTAAGAATAACATAAAAACATGTTTTCTTATTTATTTGTCTGCACCAGGTCTTAATTGCGGCACACAGGATCTTTGATCTTCATTGTGACAGGCTAGCGCTTCCATTGCAGCATGCAAATTCCCAGTTGCAGCATGAGAATTCTTTGTTTTGACATGTAGGATCTAGTTCCCCACCCAGGGTTCAAACCTGGGTGTCCTGCAGTGCAGGCAGATTCTTTACCGTCTGAGCCACCAAGGACACTTTTAACCTCTAATTCTACAATTGCCAAACCGTCTAGTGGACACAGGGCCCATTCACGCTCCATTTGACCTCACTCACTGGCCTGGTCCCCTCTGGAGGTCTGCACTACCCTGGCAGGCAGGGCTACCCCTGGCCCAGCCTGAGCCCTGGTCGTCCACAGATGTGGGGATGCAGAGGGCCCGGACACGCCAGCAGGCCCTGACCCACTTCTGAGTCCACTGGGCTCTCCCTGCACATGTGGCCCCTTTGAGCCCAGACAGAAGGCGCATGATTGCACAGAGCTGCTTGGTTCTGCCAGGCTCTCCTTCCAGGTCAGCCCTGGTTGAGAGGTGCGCTCAGGAACCCTGCCCAAGCCACAAGCCCTGGGAATGCTCCCCGGAGCTCCCCAAAGTCAGACGGGCAGTTAAAGCAGGAAACCGGGGCTCTTAGACTCTGGGGAGCAGTTCTTGCCAAAACCTCCAGACCCTTTCGGGGGACTTGGTGGTCCCGAGCCTCCCCCTGCAAGCCCAGCCCCCCGCTGCACCTGTCCTCTACCTGTGAGCCCCCTGGAAGCTGGAGTCGGCTGACTTCCTGTGCTGGGATCTGTGCATTTCAATCAATGAAACATGTGACCGTCTGGAGGTCTCCAGGTCACAAGCCGAGACACAAGAGTCGGCTTTTATCACAGCTCAAGTCCAAGCTGTGCCGACTGCCCGTGTGTCCAGTCTAGTTGCCCCCGAGGTCACATTTCCTGCTCTTTGCCCCTCTCCCTCTCGATGGAGACGGTTGCCAGCATGGCCTCTCCCAATCCCCACCTCGCAATCAGCCCAGGGTCTGCTCACTGATCCTATCCAATGGCAGGGCTGTGAGTATTGGCAAGGGATTCCTGGCCTCCAGGAACAGTCATTCCCTGCTGGCAGTGCCCAACACAGCCGTCCCCAGGTAGAGCAAAGAGTGAACGGTTGAGGAAGCCCAGAAAAACAGGGGCCAGTGGGCCAGTGAAAAGAAGCTCTATCGCCCTGTGTGGACGCCAACAGCCGCACTCGCTCCAGGCTCTGCTCCCTGGCCAAAACCGCAGGCCAAGCATGCCAGACCCTAGTAATTCAGGCCCACTGGCCACAGCCTCGGTCCTCCCCTCCCTCCAGTTTCCACGTGGACGGAGACCTTCACTAGGACAAGACTGAAACACCCAGGACCTGTTTCCAGGGCATTGTGCAGGGACGTGATGGGGAAGATGGGATGGGAATGTCCAGTCCCCCAAAAGGTCTCAAACACCAGGAAAGGACGAGAGGAGACAACTTTCCTAATTCCTCTCCTCTCCCCAAAACATCTCAACACCCTTTCACCCCAAACCAGCTAGCTGCCTTCTATCTGAGAGGCACCCAGGCGCCCGCCTCAGCCCCAGGGTTGGGCAGAGTTCAAAGGCCCCCAGGGGCGGCGGGGAGGGGGGTGTCTAAGCCCCTGGAGTCCCCAGAGGGAAGACGGTACCCACCCCTGCCTGGGACACAGCCCCAAACCTCCCTCCTGGCCGCACTTAGGGCAAATGGGAATTCCGCTCCCGGGATCCCTCATGCCCCCTCCTCCCCGTCGCTTAGACCACCTGGCTCTAGTCTCGGAGTGGGGTGGGGGGCCTCCTCCAAGACTGCACCAAAAGGGAGGTGAGGCGAGGATGTGCTCCGGGTTTCCGCCCCGCTTCCAGGGCTCCCCGGCGCTGGGCGAGAAAGATGCACTGGAGGACGCAACTGTTTGGGGGGAGACCCCGCGTTTACCCGCGCAGGGCCCGCTTCCAGACCGGCTCCCAGCGCACGCCCCATCCCGGCGCGGAGCCCGGGACCTACCCAGAGGGATCCCGGCGAGGTAGAAGGCGCAGTGCAGCGCGCCCGCCGAGGCGCCAAAGAACTTGCGCGCGTGGCGAAGGAGGTGCGGGGCGCGCTCGCTCAGGCAGCTGGTCACCCCGACGTAGTAGAAGCCCAGGAAGCCGCAGCCGGCGAAGGACAGGCTCCAGCCGCGCTCGGGGTCGTACATAGCGGCGACAGGTTGGGGCGGCGGGCCCGGGGTCCGAGCGCGCCCAGGCTACGTCTGGCGCCAGCCCTGGCTCTCCGCCGGGTCTGGGTGCCCCAGCCCGGGTTATTCCCGGCGCGACGTCACCGGCCCCGGCCCCGCCCCGCTCGGACCAGGCGAGTGAGCCTCCGGGCGGCCCAATACGGGCAGCGCGGCCACCCCGCCCTCCACGGAGGCGGAAGGCTGGGAGGGGTCTGGACCCGGCGGAGGAGAGGAGAGCGGAAGACCTGAGCCAGGTGAGGGTGGAGAGGGAGGTTCCCGCAGCTGCCTAGACAGTGGAGATGGAGCGCGCCCCTGCCGGTCCCTTTTCATCCCTTAAACCACTTAGAAGTTTACGGCTGCCTACTTCACGTTCTTTGTTTAAATTTTTATTTATTTTATTTTATAACTTTCGGTAGCCCCGTGTCTGCGTTGCTGCCCCAGGGGACCTCCTCTTCGCTGCAGTGCATGGGTTCTTCTTGCAGTGCCTTCTCTTGCTGCCGAGCGCAGGCCCCAGGCACACCGGCTTCAGCAGCCGCCACACTTAGGCTCAGGAGTTGCAGCGTGTGGACTTTTAGGACGTGGGCTTCAGTAGTTGGGGTCCAGGGGCTTAGTTTCTCCGCAGCCGGTGGAATCTTCCTGGACCGGGGATAGAACTCCTGTGGCCTGTGTTAGGGGGCAGATTCTTATCCACTGAGCCACCAAGGGAGTCCGCCACTTAGGTTCTTAATATCCTTCTGACAGAGTATTCATTTACCTTTTTACAGGAGGAAGCAAGCTTGCAGTAGGCACCAGCATCTAAATAGAATTTCGTGTCTTTGACTTCCTGCAAGTTTTTGCATGATGTCTTTGGTCCATGGCAAATGGTGGAGATTTTTCATTGAATGATAATGACATGAAGGTCCCTTTCAAAACTTTACTTCTAAGTCAAAATTGTACATAACAGGTGCTTGGGGCGTGGCGTGGGCGGTGCAGGGTTTGGGGTTCCGGAGGCTCGGGCCCTTAGGAAGTGCCTGGGATCCCCATGGACTCTGGGACGGCACTGCACAGAGAATTTCCATAGCAACGCGCAAAGGCAGGTTAGGCTCTTGCCCAGAGTTGCACAGCCAGCAACCCGGTCACTGGGCCATCCCACCCCGTTTTGTGGACAGAAACGCCTCTTCCCACTCCGCCAAGCCCACGTGGAGTGCAGAGTGTGGGCCTTGGGATCGGCCTCCCCCTCTCTGTAATCCTCATCTGTAATACCACTGGTGGAGATGCTGCCAGGATTCCGAATGTCACCTGTGGCCTGACCGCATTGGTTATGCATTACCCGCCACCCACAGAGTTTCCCAAGTCTGAGACATCCCCTGGTCCAGCTGAGCCTGTGCCTGGAGGGATGGGGCAGGGCCGTGCCAGGATCTGGGCAGAGGCTGAGGCTGGGCTGCTTCAGGGACTGCAGACCCCCAGGGTGAGCCATTCTGTCTCGCCTCTATGGACCAGACCCTGGGATGTGGGAGCTGCAGACCCGGGTGACCACTTTGACCAACAGCGACCTCACACAGACACTTCACTGATGGAGGTCCAACGCGAGGAAAGTGGTGGTCTCTCTGTCTGTCCTGGACCATGCTGCCTTGGCTAGGGTGAGGGTGGGGCAGAACTCAGAGGCCTGCCCCGACTGACTGCCCTCCAAACCTGCCCTACACTCAGGGCTGGGACAGAAATGAAATTTCTGGGTGGGAAAACAGGCTGTTGGCAGGGTCCGCTGGGTCCACAATCTCTCGATGACTCCTACCCCTTACCGGGCACTCCTGCCCCCGCCAGTCCTGCTGTGTTGCGTAGGTGCTCTTAGGACTAAAATTCGAGGCTGTGAATGCAGGTTCCAGATGAGTGGCCCTGCCAACAGCCACTGGCCTTTGCGTTCTCTTCCAATCCATGGATGCATTCATGGCAGCTGCCAGGGACATCTGTGCTCCCTAGCGTGACCCGGATGAAGGTGGGAAAGGAGCAGGGCTGAGAGTGACCTCTTTGTCACATGGACAGCAAGTGGACACCCTTGTGCCCAAACAAAGAGAAGAAAGGTCTGAGCAGGGGCCCCGGTCCCAGCTCTCTCAGCCCCTTGCCCAGTGCTCCCGCAGGGCAGGCTGTGAGCTTTGATATGGCATGATCAGTGCTGTTGGGTTAGTCACTTGAGCCGTGTCCAACTCTTTGCGGCCCCATGGACTCTAGCGTGCTCGGCTCCTCCGTCCGTGGAAATTTCCAGCAAGAATACTGAAGTGGGTTGCCATTTCCTTCTCCAGGGGATCTTCCCAACCCAGGGATCAAACCCAGGTCTCCCGCACTGCAGGCAGACTCTTTACCATTTGAGCCAGCAGGGATGACTCGGGCCAGAAGCAGGCTTCGCCACTCCTCAGCAGAGGTAGATTTGTGCAGGCATCTTTTACCTCTTAGCTTAGTTTTCTTAAGCATGTGAGGGTAGGCAGTTTTGGTTTTGGGGGTTTTTTGGCCACACTGCAAGGTGTGACGAATATTAGTTCCTCAACCAGGGATTGAACCCGGGCACCCTGCAGTGGAGGCGTGGATAACCTGTGTTAACACTCTCTGGGAAGTCCTGAGGTTAGGCTGTTTTTATGGCCTTCCTGGTGGCTCAGACCGTAAGGAACCTGCCTGCCGAGGCAGGAAACCTGCGTTTGATCCCTGGATCAGGAAGATCCCCTGGAGAAGGGAATGGCTACCCACTCCAGTGTTCTTGCCTGGAGAATGCCATGGTCAGAGGAGCCTGGTGGGCTACAGTCCACGGGGTTGCAGAGAGTCAGACACGACTGAGTGAATAACGCTTTCATGCTGTTTTTCCCACCAAGCTTCTAACATCAAGCATGTTGACACCTTTTCCAACACCACTTCAACAACTCTCAGAAGCACCACCTGGGTGGCCAACATTCCTCTCAATTCTGACCCTGCTTACCCAGAGTTAACACGGTCCCCATGGGTGACGGGCTCAGTCCACAAGACTGGCCCCACGACAGACCCCAGTGGCACAGCGGGTCCCCGGGGTCCCACCACCCTCCTGAGGACTTGCTAGAAGAACTCACAGAACAAGAATTTGACTGCCAGCCAAAGCATTTAGGAATGACCAGGTCAGAGCTCTGTCTGGTAGTCTGGGGCCAATTAAGGTACATGGCACACAGTGGCGTTACCCAGACATAGCAAGTGTCCATTCCCTGCTGAACTTCATGTTCTAAACGTCATGCTATCATGGTAAAATGTGGGCTCTTTTGGCAGTAGCTGTACCCAAAGGCTGAGAAAGTTTGTGGTATTAAGAAACTCCTGTTGCTACTAAGCTGGTTAGTTCACTGGCCTGACTGTAAGGCATGAAACCTATTACTCTTTACTTGGCAGCTAGTTGAGAGTGGGATGGTAGCATTGCAAACAGATTTATCTTGATAAAAGTATTGAATAAGGTTTCAACTTTCAGCCACATTAAATAATTTAGATTTAAAAACTTTAGATTTTTTTCACATATTTATGTAGTGTCCAACTCAGCTCAGCTTGCCAGGGACTTCCCTGGTTTAGGCACTTGGAAGTCCTACATCCTGGGAAAACTTTCGGTCCCAGACAAACTGGGATAGTGGGTCAAACCCATACCACTTGCAAATGTCAGAGGTAGGTCTGCTTGACCTATAAATCTTCAGTAGGAACAGTCCTAGGATTGTTCATCTTATTGGGCAGGAAACAGCCAAACCACTGGTTGGGAGACAAGTGAGAAAGTCACAGACAATGAGAGACCAGCTCAGAAAGGAAAGAAACACTCAGCCATCCTCATTGTTTATGGTTCTGTATTCACGAACTCACCTAGAACTCACTAGAGCATATTTATAAATCCAGATTAATGCTCACAGCTCTTTTTTTGGCCTTTCGTGGATATCTGCAGAGCAGCCAAAATGTTCACGTCGCCCCACACCTGCCGTTCCCAGCTGTGGTTGGACAGCTGTGCCTTCTTGTCTCAGTCCCTGCTGTAAACAAGGGTCCTTTCTGTCATCAGTTTACTTATTTGTTTCACATTTTGGTTCCTTTTGGTGGCGATTTTGCAGCTTAATATGGTCCCCAAGCGAAGAGCTGAGGGCCATCTGGTGCAGCCAAGCTCTAGAAGGCTGTGACGGCCTTATGGAGACAATGGATGTGTCAGGTGAGCTTAGGAATGGCACCAGTGACAGTTCCAGATTAATGAATCATATGTGCATCACACAAGGTGTCTTTAAACAGAAGCATCCATCACACACGGTTGTGGTTTTTTTTCCTAAATATTTATTTATTCATTTTGTAGCACCTGGTCTTCAATACAGCATCAAAAGGATCGTTAGCTGCAGTGTGTGGACGCTTAGTTGAGGCATGTGGCATCTAGTTCCCCAACCAGGGATCAGACCCAGGTCCCCCGCGTTGGGAGCCTGGAGTCCCAGCCACTGGACCACCAGGGAATCCCAAGGTTGATGAGCGTGTTGTGACCAGAGGCTCGCAGAAACCCCACCTTGCATTTCCTCTGGGAACAGCGATTCGGAATTCACTAACTGGCAAACTTCCTGAAGGTAACTGATGCAATGAGGGAGGGGACCTGGGAGGTGTGGCGAAGCCTGGGGTTGGCGTCCCCCATGGGTCTGAACACGCAGAGCCCTGCCCACCCCCACTGGCTCTGGCTGCTGGCTCCACTCAGCCCTCCCTGCAGTGCTGGGCAGGCTGAAGGCAGGCCTCCCTCCGCCCGTCACCAGATCCCAGAGCCTGAAGGTGGGCCTGTTGGAGTCAGCCTGCTGGAGGCAGTGGTCCCATCACCATCCTGCCCTCGGTGGCCCTTCCATCCCCCCACCTGGCCTGAGGTTTCTCAAACACCCTGACCACCCAGTGTCCCTCCCCCAACTTCATCCCTCAACTCCATCCTTCCCCCAGCTTCCCGGGCCTGGCTGTAAATCACTATTTTTTTTTTCCCAACTTATTTATTTGGCTGTGCTGGGTCT